TGAGCAGAGAGGGTTTCTGGATTAGCTTTCCCTGTTCTGGATGAAGTTCTGAGATGCTGAAATGTGAAGAGAACAATCAGAATTGTGCTTTTTCCCTTCCAGGAAGTTATGTTGAGTCCAGTTTGCCTGCTCACATTGCTACAGCTCAGTTTCTTCCTTCTGTTCTGATCCCCAAATTAAGAATTTGAGACTTGTTCTTGTCATACCTTTGACCTGGAGTGAATTTATTTACATATCTGTCTAGGATCCATGCAGCTTTTTTTGTTGTCTTTTTTAAATTGCTGTGTCATAAACATATGTATACTGATGTATGAAAGTTTATTTACACTCCTCTATCATGCAAAAAATTGACTTTTTACTACTAAGTAACTTAATTTTTAAAAACAAATCTGAGGTTGAAAAAGAACTCATTGCCTTTAAGGATTATCTTGCAAGTCCGACATGCGGTAGCTTGCTTTCCCTGTGCTGATAGCTGCTCTGTTCTGGTGTGAGTTGTGAAAGAGAGGTAAGAACAGCTTCCCCATGCAGGTACATCTAGCCTAAAATCTCCAGTACTTGGGCATTGAACTAGGGCAGATCTTAAATATGTACGTGTAGCTGAATTTTAGTCCTTACGGGTAAGCAAGATTAAGCCTGGCTTTCTAGTCCCACAGCCTAAGAAGTAAGAAACACTCACAGGAATGCATCTGGCAACCCGAGAAAACATTTGCTTCAACCTGGAACATCTCACTTTCTTAAATCCTAAAGAACACTGGCAGTTATATTTTAGGTTAGTTTTTATTTTTATGGTGGTTTTAACAACATTTTCATCATTAGGTTAGGACCATGTTAAAAACCTAAAAATATAGTCATTTCCTTTTATATCAGTTTCTGTCTCCATGGAACAAATAGAATTGTGAGTTTCTCCTTTAACTAAAATCCTTTTAATTTCTCATTTACATGTTTCTCTTTTCTCATAAGATACTTCTTTAAAAAGCGCCCAATCTCACCTAGGGAATATGAAAAGCAAAAGCTGATTTTGCTTATTTGCTTAACTGTGTAGTATTTGTAGCTCTGTTGACTAGAGCATGACTCCAACAAGGCCAAGATTGAAATTAGATCCAAAAGGCCAGTTAGCTCTTTGCAGGTAACAAAAAATTCTAAAACTTAGATTATCTTAGCCCATCGTCTCCCAAGTGTGTGTTACGGGTCATGGGAATAGGCAGAAAAAAATGTGGGGAGGAGGGGCAGAAAGGGTGGGCAAGTGGTTCTGAGCAAAAGATTATGAAGTGTCCATCACCACTCAAGAAAAAGAAACTTCACACACATTCTTGTATCAAATTCAGTCATTTTCAACAGTTTGTCTAGAAATCAACAGATGTCTTTGAACCAGCTCTCAGATTGCATTTGGAGTGGTGAGGCAGCATATAATGAATTAAAAACATAAATTGCTTTTTAAAAAAAATTATCCAGATGCACTTTTTTTGGTGTTCTTAAATAAATTCAGAAAAACAAATGATTTCCCATTGTACTTGGTTTTGTTTAAATAGTCTTCAAGAAAGGTTGTTTTGGTTGGAAAACTATGGTGGGAGCCGAGTTGAAGAAATGAGACATCGAAAATTGTCATGAGACAGAACTGTTCAGCTCCTGGCTCTGATGCACAACCTGAAGTCAACACTGGGCTAAACGCAGTGGAATCATGCATCTTTGTTCAAATGAACCAAAAAAAGTCAGGGAAACTAGGATTTTGTTTTTTCATTAATCAGTGGACCCTTCACCATTTTAACTGACTGTAAGGTAGGTTCATTTTGGGAAATCTATTTAATTCTGCTCTTTAATAAATATGTTAAGTGGAAGTAAGCATATGTCAGGTGATGTTCTGTGTTAAACATGTATTTCCCCTTATGTAGCATATAGGAGATGATACTACATACACTGAATCCTGTGCAGAAGAAAGGGGGTGTGGGGCTGGGCTGGGGGCACACCTGTCTCCAGTTGTACCACTGAGGTCTACAGACAGGTCAATGCAGGCTCCAGGCATCTTTTATTCCTTCTGAATTCCTTGCTTCATCTCTGGATTTTAATTATACTCTCCTTTTGCTGCTAAATTATTTGGTAATGGAATAATTCCCTTTATTTGCATGTTTTTTCTAAATGAATAGTGATTAACTAGGGATCTTGAAGTTGAACAGAATTTCCCGGCTATAAATCTGTGGTTTTTAGCATGGTGCATTAGAATGTATCCAGGAAACTGTCACCAACACTGGTGACAAAGTGCATTGAATTTGAGCTGGTTTCATCAAAATCCCAAGCTCAGAATTCCCCAGCCTAGCTGTATGTCATTTCCATCAACTGGCTACTTACGTGTTTCAATAGCAATGACTGACAAGAGTGTACATAAAAGGACCCCTCGGTGCTTCCTTTCAGATTTTTCTGTCCTATGTGTCTGACATTTCTTTGGGAGGTAGGGGAAAGCTATAGAGAAGGCACAATAATTTTGACCGTGCTATTTGTATAATTCATCTCAATATACAGTTACAAATAATCTACATGTGTGACCTTAACAATACATTGCAAAAAAGGGACATCACAGTGTAACTCCCAAGACAACCTTTGGCCACACCTGTTGGAGTTAACTGCTACCTACAGATGAAACAACTCAAGCACAGTCCACAAAGTTGGAGTTCCCTAGAATCAAGAATGGGGAGGATCCAGAATGAAGTGACCAGCCCATCATCATCCAGGTCACTTGGATATACACTTTTAAAATCAGTCTTTTTCTAGTCTAAAGCATGATTCTCTCGGCATATGGAATGAGATGTTGGTGGTTCCTTAAAATCCGCACGTCTATGGTGGAACTGAAACAGCAACGTCGCCATAGGCCTCATATTCTACTTTGGAGGAAACGTGGGAAATTCACCAGTATGAAAAGGATAAGGATGTTTTGCTTTTTAACATATGCTCTGGGTTGAGCTAAAAGAATTTCTGTGTTTGGTTTGTTTTTTTCAGATCCTTTTCTCTAGATATGAGAGCCTCCCCACCCATCACCTTGGAATCTGACTGGAGAAAGAAAAGGCAAAAGGTTTTCCTCCACACTCTGCTTGTTAGAGCCAACACTTCAGTGTCCATGTCTGGAGGGACCCCCACCTTTTTAATATAATCAAGGGCAAATAATACAATCTTCAGTCATTTGCCAGGTTTTGATGAGGGTAGGGTAGGGTAGGTACCAGCGGCTAAGAACAGTGACCAGGAAAAGCTGTCCTGCAGCCACAGCTAAAGCTGGTAATAACTACTACTCATTGCTTACTATGTGCCAGACAAACCCTCTTTACGCTCACCTTCCGGATAAAAGAATGTGGCTGCTGCATTGTTTCCACTTTCCAAATCTCACATAAGATCATCTGGTCCTTACTAACCCAAAACAACGCAAGGAAGGAATTCTGGGGCGTGTATTTCAAACCTGGCTTAGTTGACAGGTAGCTAAGCCTTTCTTGAGGCATTAAATATTCCTGGCCTGGGTCTGCTTTGGATAATGTGCTTTCATAAAGTAACTTTAAAGCCAAAACAATGCCTACAGCAAGAAATTACCTCCTTAAAAGTTTCTTACCAAGGAGATAAGGTGGAAGAACCAGTAGCTAGTGATTGGTATCTGGGGATGGGACGACTAGTTCCAGTTACTCTACAGCCTGATCTGATGTCCACTCATAACCACATTGCCACACTGAGAACTTCAGATCTTTTCAGTCTAAAACCATGAACCCACATAGATGTTGCGCACTTCAGATACTGAAGTCTTCCTAAAGGTGACGCCAGGCTAAACACAGTAAACTCATGTGACCCCCACTGAGGGGTCAAGGAACCCTCATCACCCTCCCAGCATCTAGTACATATACCCAATCCAGTACGTAGTAGACGCTCAACAAATCAGCGTCCAGTCCTTACTCATAGGCAGCCTTGCATCTCTGTCTCAGTGGTCCCTTCATTCTTGTTACTCATTTTGAGATGTGGAGGCCAGAACCACATGGTTTTCTAGCAATCCCTGCAACCTGATTTTGGTCTTTGAGGTGTTGGGAACCAGCAACAACTTGACATGGGGTAGGGAGGCATAATCACAAAATGGCCTTCAGGCCACACTGATCTGAAATCTGTCCACTCACACTGATCACGGTTCTTCAGCCTGAGTGTGAAGATTCTGGGAAGATGGCAGAGTAGGAAGTACCAGGAATCTCCCTTTCACCTAGACAACAATTACACTGGCAGAATCTGCCTGATGTAACTATTTTGGAATTTTGGAGTCTGTTGAAGCTTTGCAACTTCCAGGCATAGGTGGTAAATGGTAGACAATGCCAATTTCAGTCCCTAGCACAATGGCAGCTACCCATCTACCACCAGCAGCCACGTGGCAGGCAGCTCTGCGAGTTTTCTAGAGCGGCTTGTGGGCGCTAGGGTGGGCAAAAAGGACTCTGTTCCCTGAATATCAGGGATCCATGCTCTGAATACTGATTGCTGCATGGTTACTGAGGTGCAAAGAGGCAGGCAGCCATTGTTTCACACACACACACTCCCATCATTGGTTCAGGTGACTTCTAAGGGGATTTAAAGGACTAACAACCTTCACCCCACCCTTCATGTTTTACATTTTCCCCTTTCAGGAGCCAGACATT